TAAGATCTTGATGGATTCGAATCAGATTCTGATGAAGATGAGATTGTTGTTGACCTTCAACCTTATGTTGATAAACTTAGAGGTAAGACTTAATAGCAACTCACATTTTTCTGCCTTTCTTTTATATTGTTCTTAGTACTCTCTGTTGTTGATAACAATTTATTATCAACTGTTCTCATCTTTCTGAACTTAGATATGTAACTCTCCAAAATCCATCTTCCTTCATTTAATAGCAGCACATTGAGATTTGTTTGATCATTTTGGAAAAAGGTGCTCTTTAGGTGTATTTGTTTTTGTAGTTAATGGTAATCTCTACATTAACCAAGGCGTTGCCGTCCTCATGGTAGTAGTTCTCTAAACTCGGTGTGTGTGTGTGTGAAAAGTGAGAAAACAAATTCAGTTTTTCGATATCCTGCATATGCATATATAGCTATCTAAAAACTTCTGCATACTTACGATCTTGTTTTTTTTTGTTTTCTTTTTCTGTCAGATCATCGCATCTCAAAGGACAATCCACAATAGCAGAAATCACTGAGAGTTTGTGGAAATTTTGTTGGAAGTGGTGGCCTCGTAGGTGCAACATCTTCGTCTTTTTAGAGTTAACATGCTGCCGAGCAATTAACCATGGATCTCCAGTTGATCAGTTAGCGGAAGCTGGCCTAACACCATCTCACATTGTAGCAACAATATTTGACATACTTGGACAAACCATAGGGGGTTTTAGAGGTCATGACCAAGTACACAAATGTTGTCCACAAATGTGACTTTTAGGTACTCATTTTGGTGGATTAGGCAGACTTAATTGTCAAGTCACAAGTGTTCCAGATGCATGTAATAGAAACTGGTCATTTTGTATTGAGTATCATCTTCATTATCCAAATTGATCATTTAATGTCTTTGAAATGCTTTATGACTTGGTCATTTTGGAGCTCATTGAGCATGCGAGAAACTTATTCATGGAATAATATGGGTAAATATAGATACCCATATTATACATTGGGTAACTCGTTTTTACCCATTTAAAATATGAGTTGAGTAGAGTATTTTACCCATTTTTATTTAATTCATTTTCGACTTGACCCACTCGTTTGCCACTCCTAGCTGACACTAAAACCATTCCGGGTCTTATGTAATTTCTAGAGGTGCATCTATAATTCAAACGTGTGGAATTTTTTGAAGTAAGAATTGAAGTAGCTGCACATACTTTAATATAAAATTTGTTTTGTTTGAACAGGAAAGCATATGTACAATAGTTTAAATTCGAGCATATAATCTTTTAAATACCAATTATGCTAAAATGTACTAATAACTTAATCACCTGGAATAACCGGATATATATATATATTATTACCTTTATTTATTTTTTATTTATAAGTGAACAAGAAAAGGACTATCAAAGCATCAAGCAATTATACCAAAAGTAAAGTAAGTTGTACTACAAATTTGGGTCCATTTTGTTCCTTCATATTCTTTTTCAACCACGTGTATGAATTTTATTTCATCATCTTCCTTTTTCTTTTGACACGTATTACATTTTTGTTTTTGTGAAAGACATTTGGTTTCCACTCAAAAGAAAATTTCATCTTTTCGAACTTTATATTTGTCAGGAGACATGGGATTGTGAAATAGCTATTCGAAATTACTGTAGGTGAGTGTTTCGACAATTCTTGCTCAAATTTTATTCTAAAATTTCTGAAAGTTGGACGCACCAAATTTATGTTGTAAGTCACTGTAACCCGCATTGAGTGCTAGACCTAGCATTGTAGGGGAAATAGTTGCTTCTAAACTCACTCTTAAATCCCCATTTTGTTGTGTATTAAGGTTGAGGTCTCATGTTGGAGCAGAGATTGCACTGTTGAGTTTTCTTGCTTGAAATTATTTTGATTTATTTTCCTATCATGGACATAGATAAGTAACTTTTAAGCTTCATATCGGAAAGTATTCAAACTAATAATAATTATCATTGTTCAACAAATATTCAATGGAACTTTGAGTGCACTGCCATTCTGTATTGCAGCTAATGAAAATGAATAGGAAATTTATGATATTTATATGTAGTTAGCTTTTTTTTTTTTTTCGTTTGTATTGGCTGTTATGTTTTATTTATATCTCTCCTGTCACTTAGATTTGTTGCTCTTGAGCTGAGGGGTCTCCCCGGGAAACAGCCTCTCTACCTCCCACGAGGTAGTGGCAAGGTCTGCGTACAATTTACCCTCCCCAGACCCCACCTAGTGGGATCTCACTGGACATGTTGTTGTTGTATATGTAGTTAGCTTTTTGTGAAGAGGCATATCAGAAATAGTCTAATGAGAAAGCATATGTTTACATTAGTAGTTGCAAACGAGATCGACTTGGTATATTTTAAAGCACACACATGTTAGTTCATATTCTTAAAACGAAAAGTTATATTCTTGGTAAATTTTAGACTTCCTTTTTAAAAAAAATTCTAATTATTTTTGCTTTGAAAGTTATGTTCTTTAGTCTGTTTTGTGATTAATGCTGAATTTTGGAGCTCAATTGTTCCGGGAAAGCTTGTGTGTATGAGAGTTGGTAGTTGGTTCTTCTTTTTAATGCTATTGATTTATCGTGGCAGAGCCAAGATTTTTCTGTCACGATTTCCAGTAAGTGCTTCAAAACATGAAGAAGGTGTGTTCAACATCTACTATATATGTATAACTTTTTTTACCATGTATGAAGTATAAATTTCCGTTGTATGTAGTTTGGATGAATCCCGCGACCCTACCTGGCTTTGCCACCGTTGTCGACAATCAGTAAGTATAACATCAAATACTCTTATTTTCCTTTTTGAAGATGTACATATATCATTACAGAAATGATCTCCATGGAAGCAGAAGACATATTCGACACAACTTGCATTAAGGTTACCAATTATTAACACATATTAGTATATTTTTATAAATAATTTTAATTTTCTATTTCCATCAAAGTTGTGCGACGAAAATCATTTTTATAATGCAATACACCATCTATATAAAAAAAATTGTGAGATATTTTGAATGTTGTAACTCATTCTGTTTGCAGAACCAACTCATGCACATTAACCATGTCCAAGACACACATTCTCGTTGTTTGAGTTCAGTTAAGGAAATCGTCCTGGAGAAGCTCTAATGTCAGACACAAAACTCTATTTTCCCTGTCCTAATAGAGAAAGAAGACAACTTTCCATTCTATGTTAATGAGAAAACACCAGAAGGTCAAACCTTCGAGCACAACTGAGGTACGAGTCTAGAGATGAAAGTACTAGGTGTTGTATTTGGAACTTCAAGCGTAAACCAGAAAATTGAACCAGTCACGCCATCGAAAAAGCTGTAAAAGGTTGATCTACTTATGTACCTATAACTAAACTCCTTGGAAAAAATATAATACAATTAGAAGAATTCTGGTCTCTCTTTTTTTACAGATGGTTGATTTGTCCAGATTTCAATGTTGTAGCTTATTTGTTGAATTATGACATAGGTTAAATGATTAGGCTTGAGATTAAAGTTTGGGAAAATGCATAAGTATCCCCAGCCTTTGCCCAAAATCCCTGAGACACACCTAACTTTTACTAAGGTTCTATTACCCCCGAACTTATTTTATATATAATTTTCTACCCCTTTTCGGTCTACGTGGCACTATCTTGTGGGCCCAACGCGTGTTAACAATTTTTTCAAGAATAGTGCCACGTAGGCAGAAAAGGGGTAGAAAATTAATTAAAAAATAAGTTTGGGGGTAATAGGACTTTAGTAAAGGTTAGGTGTGTTTCAGAAATTTTGGGCATAGGCTGGAGGGTACTTATGCATTTTCCCTTAAAATAACATACTATTACATATTTTAAGGGAAAATGCATAAGTACCCCCCAAGCCTATAGCAAAATTTCTGAAACTGAGACACACCTAACCTTTACTAAGGTCCTATTACCCCCCCGAACTTATTTTATATGTAATATTCTACCCCTTTTTGGCCTATGTGGCACTATCTTGTGGGCCCAGCGCATGTTGACATTTTTTTCAAGGATAGTGCTACGTAGGCCGAAAAGGGGTAGAATATTATAGATAAATTAAGTTCGGGGGTGTAATAGGACCTTAGTAAAGGTTAGGTGTGTCTCTGGGATTTCGAGCATAGGCTGGGGGGGTACTTATGCATTTTCCCATATTTTAACAATATGTACAACATATACAACTATGTTGCCCAGTTAAATACTGTACAAGCATAGCTATAATAAACATAACATACTCAAATCATAACTGCTCATATCTTCAAGTACATCATATGCATATCCTAATTCAACAGCCACAGTGGTGTGCTGGAGTTACGCATAGGGGGATCCTGAAGTATCTTGGAAAAACATGGAAATATCAGTCAACTAATCTAACATTTTGAAAGAAGAAAGAAGAATCTAGAAAATATAGTAGCGTAATGACCAAGATACTAAAACAGAATGTTAAAACTATTTTTCTGCCAAATACTTGCTCGAGTAATTAATCTGGAAGTGTCAATTACATAGGAGAACGTGTATTCAAATCTTTGAACAGTATATTAAATTGAAGGATGCTTATAATTAAAAAGGTGACATCAAGGAAGCTTTGAAATTAATATAAATCTCCCAAATAAATTTTTGCACTTCACCAAAGGCTGGTGAAACAGTAATAGTGAAATAAATTGGTGATATATATTTCGGTCAAGCTCACATTTAAGATTTACCATGATCTTTTCCAAAGTCTGCAAATCAAGGAGCAGCCAGAAATAAATGAAGATTCAGATGATATAATCACAACTCTAATTTTCGTGCACAAGTACAACATTGACTCAGATGAGAAGACAAAAAACATTACATGGAGTAAGTTGAAACACCAAAAGTTAAAAGTTTTCTTGCTTGGAAAATTCTGTACAGTAGAAGCACAAAAGGAGTCCCGACTTGAAACATAAAGCTCAAGCTAAAATATGAAACTAAATATATAACAATTACCTCACTTTCTAAGATTTTGAACTTACTAAGATTTCGAACTAAGTTTGGGCGGATAGATTGCAAACGTAGTTATTATATTTCAATGTGGATTAATTTCAAAAGGAAGAAGCAAATATTAGGGGGAGAAGCTTTAACATTTGTCAGTCCTTGTAACTGAAACTATTCTAATCGCAATTTGAAAATCATGCATAACATGTTCATAACAACTTTAAAAGCAACTCAGCCTATTAAAATATCATCATCATTAGGAGGGGAGATGGTTCAAAACAAATTGAATATTACTGCTACTTAGTGCGAGAGAAGTTATTAGCGAAAAAGTAAGAGTTACTGGGCAATCTAAATAAAAAAGAACTTCCTATATGTATACCTGCTTGCATCAGTTATTAAGGTGAAATGTAAAATGTAAGCAGATATCAACATATACTAAAATTAGAAAACAACAATCTTTAGAACTTGCTAGTTTTTTTGTCAAAAAATGTATTGTTCGTTTAAGACTCAGGATTGCACACATTAAGCACCCATTAATTGAATATAGTCTTTGTAAGAATGGTTCCTCTTTATTTATAATCAAAAAATTTGAAAATTCCAATCAAGCATATTCTCTCTTTACTCCTAATAACACCAGAATTTACTCAGATTCAGCATAAATGATGTTAAAATTATCACATATGTATGGTTTGTTGGGGAAAAATTGTAACTCCAAAAGAAAAACAAAATGAAGTAAAGATCAAGCATGTTACAACCAAACAAAGACACCGTTGCGACCGAGAAAAGTACATACAACCTTAACACAATCTCTATTGTAGTAAAAGAGTATATAAAGCAACACTAACCTGTTAATCTGAAACACAATCTAGAAATTGCACAAAAAGAAAACAAAAAGACATAAA